GCAGCCTGTCCCACCCTTCCTCCCTTTGTTGCCTTTTGTGCCATCAGTGCCTAAGACAAGCCTCTTTTGAATATTTACTGACTTCCTTTACAGTTCCTCCTTTTGAAACACATCTATTGCGTGAAGCAAGTTTTAGTCTTTAACACTTCTTTCTGTGTTTGCTCTAATATGCTTGTACATTTAGACTGTAAGCCCTTCAGGACAGAGTTCTATACTTGCTCAGAAGAGCTTGCTCATTGTACAGCACCTGTACACTTCTAACATAAACCAGTCAAGATACCCATACATTTCCAATTTTAAAAAGTCAGCAATAAATCTAGTTAAATATTCCCTACTCCCTTCCCTTCCCTTTTATCTGTGGCTCCTTTGTGGGTTTTCTTTTTGGTATTTCTTAGCCAAGCCCATTGTTTCAGTTTTTACGTCCTGTGATGTGGAAGCTTGGGCTACAGCACACGTTTTGCTTCTCCTAAGATCTGTGCTTCCCTTCCCTGCCTTTCCTAATACCACAGGTACTTGAATCATTTGGACAATGATGAATTTCAGAAAGCCATTCAGGAGCTCCAGTTAACAAAGAGTATCTGGACTATTGACCTGGCCTACTTAATGCGGCACTTTGGTGTCAAGCATAAGTTTTGCACCCAGACACTTGGAGTGGACAAGGGCTACAAAAATCAGGTAAGTATTCTAGAGCTTTAAAAGCCCTGTGTCTCACATGTAAAAGCTCTGCTTGTTACTGACAATCACCCACAATCCCTGCAAACAAGGTTTGCCTATTGCCATAACGAGCACACATCAGTTCCAAAGGCAAGGCTGGATACAAGCCCACATACTTCACGTCTTTGATTCCATAATATGAATTTTGAAAAAGTTTTCATGTAGTGCTCATGAAAGGTTCCACCTCTTTGACAGCCTGGAGACTGAAGCCCTCTGTCTATCTACAGAACAGGTACAGCCTGGGCAGCAGCAGTGCTAGCTTCCACCCTTTCCCCACCACTGTGCCTCAGCCCTGACCTGGAAGAACCACCTCTAGAGGTGAGAGGGGAACTCAACCTCTTCAAGACTGCCAGCAAGGGGGCCCATAGCAGTGATGGCTTTTCTAACATCAGCTCCTGCCCAATACGAACCAGGATGGCTTCTTTCATGTAGGCAGCTGAACAGCCACTGGATGAAATTACAGTAACAACTGACCAGGAGTGAATTTAAACAATTTAGAGCAGGAATCCTTTTCCTGTTACCAGTGAACTAAGGGAGAGATCTCTTATCCCATAGCCAGATCTTCAGCTTATGCAGGCCCTTGCTAGCATGTATTTTAAGTGGTGGATTACCTAAGGGAAACATTATGCCAGTTCATAACTTCTACTATCTCCATAGTCGTTTTACAGAAAGCACTTTGACACAGAAGAGAATCGAGTGAATCAGCTCTTTGCACAAGCCAAAGCCTGCAAGGTGCTGGTGGAGAAGTGGTAAGCTTATTATTTTCTTTCCTTTCTCTTTGGAGAGTCTGTGGGCCCTATCCTTTACTTGGAGTCAAGCTAAACTGGTCAAAGAGACTGAAATCAAGCCCTGAGCCCTTTTTTTGGGGTGCATTACAGTCTTCCTAATAGATCTGTCTCAAAAAAAAAAAGGTGGACATCAAGAGTTAATAACAAAGTTTGAGGAAAAATAGCCAACACAGAATTAGTATTTGAAAATGCTGATGAGTTGGCTATTGTTTATGTTTGGAATTGGATTATCCATTAAAATCATCCGGTAGGGAGTGCCTACAGCACTCTAATTGGCCATTGCTGGAATTAATGAGAGTGCTATGTGGGCACACAACCCATTGTTCCCAGAACTATGCAAACATTATAGCTGTTTCTTAGACAAACATGCAAAGAAAAAGCTTGCAAACAAGATTTTGCCAAGAGGGAGGGTGAAAGAACCTCTATGAAAACTGCAGACCCAGGAGAGAAGCAAAAACTGCAGAATTGTTTCACAGCTGACAGTGATGTTCTACTTGGGAAATAACAGAGTGTCCGTGTTCAGTTTGAGTTGCACCCCTTTTTATAGTGAAACTGGATTTGGATCTCTGTTGTCAAAGCAGGGTAAATGATCAGGAAAAGATAAGAGGGTGCAGGGCAGCCACAACAGCATTTGAATGCTGTAATGCAACTTGTATTTAGCAGAGTTTTCAGTGTCCTGTTTAACACACACACACAGTCTTTCTGGCACTATCTATTTAACTAGAGCTGTGACAGGACGGAAGGTTCAGTCAGTCCATCCTGCGTTAGTCATCTTAAGATTGTGGCCTGGATCAAGACAAGGACAGAGAGCATGTCTACCTGTGTACACACAGTACTGAGTCTAGGGTATCAAAAAGTGACACTGGAAAAGATTAAAAAGCACGAGTTCAGTTAGATAGTGCACACAGCCTGGACATCCAGAATGTATCCAAAGGATAAGCTTCTAATGCATATGGACTGCATGTGCCTCAGTGAGGGACAGGTTTTAACAGATGAGGTTATAGGTTACGTTTGGTTAATACTCATTTTCTGTAGGAGGTACTATAGCAATAAAGCCTCAAGAGCATCAGGCAGTCCAAAACTGCAACTGGGAGAAGTGTATTTCTGTGTGACAGAGGCAAATTTGGGCACGTCTTAATTTGGTTAGTGATTATACAATCTTTAACCACTCAGCCAGTAAAGATTTGGTGCTTAAGAGATAAGCTTTTCTAAGAGCAGGGAGAACACTTCACTTAAAATTTTCCCACAACAGAAGTCTCTCAGGTTACTGACTGAGTTGCCAGCTCCTTTAAAACTCTTATCTGGGGCACTGGATACATTCGGAGATTACATTGATGTTACTGCAGAATCCAGAGCTCTTGCCCTGCACTTCAGCAGCAGCAGTGAGATTAAAAGGCCTTGAATGACACAGGTTTTATCAGGCTTTGCCTGTAGCAAAGCTTGCTGGGTTTAACAGCAAAAAGCTGTACCTGTGACAAAACATGCCAGCTGCATGTCTTAAGTACTGTCCGTCACCACACACTTCATTGTGTACCAGTCTCTTCCCTGAACTTAATAAGCATAAGTGATCTTTTTTCTGTAGCACAATAACAGTTCAAGACATCCAGAACCACCTGTCTCAAGGTCACGTAGCCATTGTCCTAGTGAACGCAGTCCTGCTGTTGTGTGACCTTTGCTCAAGTCCTGTCAAATACTGCTGCTTCCTCCCCATTGGACAGAAGTGCTTCTGCAGGAATCCTGACTACCAGGGCCATTTCATTGTTCTATGTGGCTACAACAAAGCCTCAGGGAGTATTTACTACAACAACCCTGCCTATGCTGACCGTGAGTAGCCTGTTCCTTTTGGGGGGATTCTAAGCCATCACTTTACTGACACGTCTTTAATACAGAGCCACAGCTGCACCTGCTGGACCTCCTCTAACGGTGTGCCTATCCTCAAGCATCACTCACCAATTTGTCAGAAGGGGTTTTGCCACATTAATTAAATCAGTGCTGCGTTTGTGCTGTGATTTACTTGAGGAATTGAGGTACTCATTCTAGCAAATGTGCTTGGCTCTCGGCTAGGTTTGTGAGAGATGCTGAACTCTCCCTATCTGCAGAATATAACAGAATGGGCTATTTACAGCATTACTTCCATGAGCACTGCCTTTGAGCTAGGGAAAAAAAAAAAAAATCACAGAATCAAGAATTGGTTAGGTTGGAACAGACCTTTGAGATCATCAAATCCAACCACTAATCTGGCACTGCCAAGGCCACCACTAAAGCAGCTCCCTAGTTCTGCATTTACATTTAAAGCTTGCTCCATGGTGCATCAAAATGAAACCAACAAGTAAAGTTGTAACCTAAGCTGATAGCTCCAGTCTGTATACTAGTTAGTTTTCTTTGTAGAGACTGCTAACCCCAGTATAAGAGCCTTTCACAGGCAAATTCTTCTGAATTCTTAGTAACATTTTGTTCCCCCTGAACAGGAACGTGCTGCACCAGCATCAGTAACTTTGAGGAAGCCAGGACAAGTTATGGCACTGATGAAGATATTCTGTTCATCTACACAGACAGCTGACATCCACACCTGATGCTCCTGGCCCTTTCTTGTGCAGCCTGTGTGGCACTGGCTGCTTGTCTCAGGACTGCCCCTGCAAAGACCTTGCTCTTGAACTGCAGTGGGATCTTAAACATGGGAGGCTTTATAGACATTGACAGGACTATACTGCAATGCTGTCTTTACCTTTTTTTCCTCATGATGCATCTAATTTTGCAATGTATGTCTGTTTTTTGTGTTTGGTTGGTTTTTGTTTGTTGTTGGGGTTTTTTTTCCCCTCATTTTCAACATTGCACATTTGACAGCAGTTTTAAAATATAGGCCCAGAGCCTAATTCACTTTGAGCTTATTTTCAAATTAAACACATCATAAGAAAAAAAGCAGCACCAGATTTATGAACTTCAACACTTGGTAATACATGCATAGGTTTAGCTAAACAAAAACGGGGGAAAAAAAAAAAGAATACCTGTTTTTCTCTGTCAAAGCATCAAGGGCTGATCATCCTAAATCTAGGGATTTGAGGCTCAGCAGGGTGTTATGGAAGGAAAAAATACTAACTTAAAACCACTATTAAATTACAAAAAAAGCCTTGCTGGCTCATCAGGTCTGTGTTGTAGGAACAAAACACATTTACCCAAATTCACCTTACACATATACTGCTTTTATGCCACTGCATTCAGTTTTGAATCATAGTTATTGGTATTGTTCCCTTGTCCTACAAACTTAATCTCTTTTGGCTAAATCCTCTAGGATGACTGTTCAGAGCTCTGCGTTGCCCCAAAAGTGAAGATATTTTATTTGTACCTACAAGACTTGCTCTTTGCCAAAACCTCTGAGCATTATGCCACCTCCATGTGCCAGTTTCTGCAGAATCCCTTCCAAATATAAACTTTACACTTATTAAGGCAATGCAGAAAATGAGCATCTACACTAACGGCATGTATTTTGTGTGTAAATGTAAATATCTGACAGTGAATACTGTATTATAACTAAAATGCTGAATCATCATTTGAGCAAAATTTTGCCATTGGTATTAGTTCAGTGACCTAAGAAGAGCTGAAATCAATTAAAAAGAGGGAATACAAGTAAAAAGGCAGGAACTCATTTTCTAGCTCTTATGCTACAGTATAAGTACTTGGCTTAAACTGAAACTGTCAGTGGCCCATTCTTAATCCCTTCATGTTTTACCTGGGTTTAATCACTTTGCTGAGGAGTACTCTAGAGTGTAAGAAATAGCCACTTCAGATTTCATCCATCACAATTTCCTACAAGTCCTGATCTCCAGTCCTGTCTGTGTTGAAGTGAGTAGAAAAATCAATGCTGATGTAAAGCTAGCACAATTTTCTTTTGCACTTAAATCAGACATCCCGCACCTTTAGCATGGTGTTAGGAAAAGGAACTGTTCAAGTTCTAGAACCGTGTGGAATAACAGTAGAAAGACATTGTTACTTAGTGGTGGAGATAATAAATAGGAATCTACTTTAAGCATGGTAAAATCTTTTGCTAAGAGAAAAATTTGCTTCTATCAATTGTTGACATACTGAATAAGTAGCTGGAAAGCATTCAATAAGTAGTATTAGTAGAATTAAGGGTGCTCCTTTGTACAAAAAAATGGTAACATATTTATGTTACCATTTAAATGCAGTAGCCTTTAAAAAGTCCTGAACAAAAAGTATCTATCTGACAAGAAATGTTCAGTGTATCATATTTTGCTTATAATTGGTGAAGCTGGAATACATTGCAAAATGAGTAAAAGTTAGGATGTGATTTATAAATAGTAGAACCAGCACATTAGTGGCACCAGCAGAATCCCAGAAAAAAGGTACAAAGCCTATTATGGATAAAGCTTTCTGATTCCTTCAAAGTCAGTCACCAGAATGCTACTGATGTGAGAATTTTTAAGCTGCAGGTCCAAATTCAGGATGTTTGATTGAGAGATTGTATTAGCTATGTTACTAATTAACAGGTATGCATACTACAAGCCAACAGAATACTTCCTTAAGCCCTGTGGTTTCAGGTAGGTAGTTCATTCACTACCACTGAACTGTCCCAGGATTTATTTCAGAGCAAGCCTGGTTAGTTAAATAAAAACAGTTCTTCAAAGGGCTTGTAACTGACATTTAGCCTCTTACTAGTTCGGTTATCCAAATGCAAATCTTGAGCTTATGCATAAAACATGAACTTGAGAGCACGGTAAGTGTTCTGAAGTGCACAGATAGGTGTAACAATATTAACTGCTCAATATTTGGTACCTAGAGTTTAAATACTTGAACAAAACTGAAAAATAAAAGAAAGCTAGCTGAGACAGACAGTTCCACCACTGCAACAGGATCTCATAGCTGCTAAATACGAGGTAGCTATGAAGGATGAAAACATAAGAAGCAAAAGCCAAGTGAAAAGGCTGAGTATATGACACAAATTCAGATTTAAAAGCAGTTCACTGCACAAGCATTCACAACATCTGCATTTTCCAAAACTTTGTTTCCCATTACAATGTTGTCTATCAAAATACTCATTCTGAAAATGTCACTTTGTTTCCTTCATGATGTCAATAGCAAAGGAAGGGGTATTTTACATGCAGGGATTTTATACATAAATATATTTTTATTTGTAATTAAGTCATTCTCAATAAAGGATTAAAGTCACAGATAACCCTGTAACAATGTAGCAAGTGTATTTATTAACTAGCTTATGAAACATGTTGGAAAATCTTTAAAGCATGTGTTACATATTTGACTGAAAACGGCAGAGCTGAAATTGTGATTTGGGAAAAAAACCTAAGAGTTCCAATATTTATTTCAGCTATGAATTCACAGTTGCTAGGCTGTAAATTCTATTCATTCTGCACTTCCTGAACACCCTGTATCACCTGAATCACACTAAACCAAATTTCTATATACACTAGGAGCTGAGAATAGCAAATGGATTTTCATTATGTATATTCAACAGCTGCTTTGTGAAGTCCACAACCACTGGGTATCCTACTGGAGTGCTGTTTTCATTACCCACCCTGATCCCTGATAGCATCTCCCTGGCTTTCTGTTCACAATGCATGGCACTGGCCTGGCCTATGCCTTAGCCAGTGTTTCTATTTTGGCCCCGTAACACAGCACTGAACTTCTGAAGATACTAAAATCCTCTGTCTGCAGCACTACTTCTGCACCTTGAAGGAGCCCATCAAAGACATTGATCCAACTATGCTTGTAATTCATAGTATAAAGGGAAATAGAACCGAAGTGATCTTGCTTTGCAGTACCCACAGATCTTCAAACAATTAGGATGCATTTGGGACTTTACTTAAGTCTAACAGAACTTTATTAAATAGTTTGTAATTAAAAGACAGATTAAAATAATTGATGCCTCCTTTCTCCCTAAATTATACGTTTGGGTAGAGGGTAAAGAACTGGAAAGCAGAAGTGAACAGACACACAATGCAAAGCTTATGTAAAAATACTTACGTCCTCTGAATGCATCATTTCCATCAAACTATATCACAGTAAAACAGTACTGAATGCATTTCATCATCATTTTATATCAATGTATTCCTACTGGATATATTTCTCATAATAAACAAAAAGTTTGGACTCATCAGTGTAAATGGAAAAAAAAAACCCAAAAAACAACCAAAACCACAAAGCAGAACCAAAGAAGCTATTTTTCAATCATTTTACTTAACAAAGGTTTGAATTCTATTACTTGAAAGTTGTTTATTGGAAATTAAAATTACAACATTAAAATAAGAACTTGTGATCCACAGTAAGGCTATCATTCAACAGTACCTTTTTATGTGACATTAATGAGATGCTCTCTCTTTGATTATATTGGGTATAAAACAAGGCTGGACTGCTTCAGTGAGCTTGTCTGCATACATTTCATATCTACCAGTCATCTGGAAAAGAAAAATCAAAGCTTCAGTTTTTTGGTGAGCTGTGGAAGTACTTCAGTAGAAAATATTTATGTTCACCTTTTTTTTTTTTTTAAATGATGACATCTTATTTATTTGCCCCCAAATGTAAAATCATAATTCACTCAAAATGCAAGACATCCAGAGTCTTAGCACAAACTAACATACTTTTCTAAAAGAACTTACATTGTGCTGCCTAAAACTATACTTCTACCCAAAAAAAGCAGAAATACATTTCTACTCTGAAAAGTACAACTTCTAATTGAACACCTTCCTGTTTTGCAGCTCTTCTTCATTGACAGTCATGTCTGCTGACTAATTACTTAAGGCTATTTTGGTTATCCTGGATAGATGAAAGTTAAATGTGAAAGGTGGACTGACTTTCTTAGCATGAACAATAAGTTGATAAGTTTTAAGTAAGTTCGGTCAATGAAGGCAAAGGAGTGTATCTGTAGTTATCTTGTCATGTTATGTCCTCGACAACTGATGAACTCATGCAGACTTACTGTTGGCAGCAATGTGCCACTGATGGCATTTGGGTTTCTCTTACTTTAGTCATTAATAATACAAAATATCATCATTGCTTTGGGTGATACAGTAAGTTAGGAGGCTGGAATACAGCACTTTATGTAGTGCTATGACTCTTCTGAAGTGCACAGTCTACAACACTGGCTCTGAGAGGGGTGAATTACTTCTTTCTTGCCAGAGTGTAATAAGGGCTACTTGTTTAACTATTTTCCTGCCCTAAGTTTAGCAAAGACATTGTACTTAACATCCCTTTCAGGCATCATTGAATGCAAATTGCAGATACTAGAGCAGGTCAAATAGGCTCCTGCTTGCTATCAAGGGTTTTATGCAGTGGATAACTAATGACTTCATACTTTCTCATTCCCCCTGTAACAAGATCTACCTCTGTCTTGGCCACAAATGGGAGGAAAAGGAAACAGATATCCCCTGTCACACAAACAAAAGCCTTATGTGCCAGAAGACCAACAACAGCAATCCACACCATCAACATAAAGCTAAGGTGCTGAAAACACAAGTCTTGAACACAACAAAAAATAAGCAATCCTGTACAAAACAGCCAAAGGTCGGTGTTTTACTGTTTGTCTTTCCTAATCAATACAATTGCTTTTGTTGAGATAGCCCTACTACACTGTTGTAAGCAATGCTCCATGTGCTTCCTGACACACTAAATCTCTATTCTGCTAGGGCTTCAGATTTCCATGGCAAAGCAAAACTAAACACCTGAGTTCAACAACAGTGGGAATCTCTCAGCACAATTTAATTCCACTACTACAACAACCATCTACCCACTACACACACCTGTAAAATATATGTTTGTTTAAACAAATAAAAGTCCTATCATGCCACTAAACCAGTATCCAATGTGGCACCCCACATAGCTTGTATTGCACAATTGAAGGGTTAGCAAATTGCGGTGCTGAGGTGCAGTTTCTGAAACCAGCAGTGCTGCTGGACAAATTAAATCAAATGACACCCTCAGGAAAGATGATCCACATGAGCTTTATCTCAGAATATAAAAGAATAGTAATAAATAAGTTTGTTAAAGTCACGTGGAAAAACTTGCAGCCATCTTGACTTGATTTAAGTAAATTCAAAAGCATGTTAGGATGCTTTAGAGATGAACGTACACACTCCTCCTGTGGCTTCAATGTGTGCATAAACCCAGGGAGTTAACAGCGCAAGACGTTTCCATTCAGAAAGTTCTCAGAAGCATAAATTGTTGTCAGTTTGGGTTTTCACTGAATTTCACCTAAACTGACAAATAAGGCCTACAGGAATATAAAGATCCACCGTATTAGGTCAGATCAAAGGCCCATCTCAGCTCACTGTAAATGCCCACGTACCCTGCCTAAGGAAACCACACGCACTTCCCTAGCAGTCCTCAGAGGTCCTGGCAAGCCACCCCTAAGGACCTTTTCATTTGGAAGCTATTGGCCTAGTTTCCCTGAATTTGGCTACTCCTTTTAGGAATCCATTTATGCCTTTGGCCTTGTTGTGGTTTAAGCCCAGCCAGTAACTCGGAACCACGTGGCCGCTCGCTCACTCCCCTCCTTCTTCCTCCCCCCCAGTTCTCGGAGGGATGGGGATGAGAATCGAAACAATGTAACTCCCACAGGTTGAGATAACAGCAGCCCAGTAACTAAGGTATAATACAAACCATTACTGCTATCAATAATAACGATAAGGGAAATAACAAGGAGAGAGGATACAATTGCTCACCACCCACTGACCGATACCCAGCCCGACCCGAGCAGCGATCTGGGCCTTCCGGGTAACTCCCTCCGGTTTCTCTACTGGGCACGATGTGCTGTGGTATGGAATACCCCTTTGGGCAGTTTGGGTCAGGTGTCCTGTCTCTGCTTCCTCCCAGCTTCCCCTCCTCCCTGGCAGAGCATGAGACTGAGAAAAGTCCTTGGTCGGAGTATTACTTAGCAACAACTAAAAACATCAGTGTTATCAGCGTTGTTCCCAGGCTGAAAGTCAAGAACACAGCACCGCACCAGCTACTAAGAAGGAGAAAAATGACTGCTGTAGCTGAACCCAGGACAGTATCCAGAACATCCTGTTAAATTAGCTTAACAATTTAAGGCCTGGATTGTTAAAAAACAACAACAAAAAGGCTGTCTTGTAATTATTGCAAGATCATAAAATTATTACGAAAGCTTGTTTGTTCTAATATCATATGTAAGTTTGTTTCTTTATAAGCAGGCTTACCTTAAAATTCCATTTGTCACTGACTTGCCTGCAAAGATTCAGATCCATCTCTACCACCAGAAGTCCATCCCGAACACGAGAGAGTCCTGGTGTCCTGCTGCCATCTGGTGCAGCTACGTAACTTGAGCCATAAAAACAGCCCAAGTCATGGTGTGCTTAAAGAGATTTTAAAAAAGCATGTAATGCCATCTGCAAGTAAGTATACAACTTAACATGTAGTGTCCCATAAAACCTGGCTCGATTTCTTGTGGTTGCTCACTAACTGCGCTTTAAGCAAGGCAGCATCCTGAAGAGTCACGGCACAATCCTAAGGTAACTGCAGTTTTGACCAGCAGTTACTTTCATGCACAGTACAGCTTTCACATATATTGAATTAACAGGAGAAAATTCCCTGCACTGCCTTCTAAATAATGTATGATTATGCCTTACCACTACTAAGTCCCTGAACTAAAGGCTTTGCTTGCATTGGCTTTTACTTAAAATTTAAATGAATTCTAATTGTCAACTCATAAGTTTCCAAAACAGCTGACAAAGATGCACCCATTCCATTTTCAATACAAAGGTCAGAGGTGAAAACACTAGAAAACACTGGGATTTGAGGCACAGGAAAAATGTTCATATTGCACAATTCTCAGTTGTGCCAAAAATCAGCCACATCTGTTGTACTACTAAGCAATGGATGCCAAAGACCTTTTTCATGCAGCTGCTACAAACACTTAGCTCCAGAACTAGGTAAAAAGAGGCTCAGGCCCACTTCCAGATGAAGCCAGAAGCAGTCATTGCTGCCACAGGACAAATTACAGTATTTCAACATACAAGTGAAGCACATACAAGCAAATCTCATGCTCTTCTTTGAGCATTCTCTTTAACTTCCAGCAAATCTGTGAAACAGGGCAAAATGGCTTGGCTGGGGATTTAGTCTAGGACTATTACTCTTTATAATCTTACAACTACACATAAGAAGTCATGCATGCAGTGACAACACAGGCTGATTTGTGGGATTTCGGTCTTCTAGTCCTACAACACTACAGCGACTTCAAAACTCTTAGTCCTCTGAAAACATACAGAAACCTTAGGTGTCAGCTTCTGATACTGTGGTACCTTTAGGAAGAAGTGCTTCTTCTCTCCAGCTTATAAAATAGCAGTCTTAAGTAAGACAGTTGCTGGCTACCATACCTGTCATGGGATAGACACTTGTGGAAGAGCTATTGCTTCTTCAGACTTTCTAGTTAACGATTACTAGCAACTGCTGAATGTGATTTCTGAACATACCTTTTCCACCATCTCCAGAAGTAAATGAATTTTTGTAGTATTCCTGTGAAATAAGAAGAATCTGTAGGTGGCAGTATAATTCCATTTCACTCAAGAAATCCTTGCTTGACTATCATATTTAATATGGAAGTTTAAGTAAATCTAGTATGATTTTTTTTCTGGCATACTATCAGCACTGTCTAAAGGGAGCCATCAGAGGGGCCTAGTCTCTAAGATGAACAGGGTAGAAAGCAAGATCTTTTTGTATCACTGCCTGTCTTTCATACACTTTGGGGAACAGGCCTCCTATCAGTTTCACAGGTCTATCTCTAGAGGCAAAAGAAGACATTTAACCAAATGCGTCTTTGCAGATCACAGAAGAAGGTAAATGTATTCACCTAATGGCAAGAACAAGGCTGGATTTTTGCAGGCAACCTTATAAAAGAACACACATTGAAGGTATCTGGACTAATCTGAAGGCAAGAATGACCTCCTATGTGCAATATTAATTTTTAACATAGAATTTCAGTGTTCAGAAAGAGGTAGTATCTGTACAACAGTAAATAGTTGCATACCACTGACTGGAAGATATATTTAATCTTCAGTGGTTTTGGCTAAAAGAACACGAATTTCAACATAGAAACCAGGAGAATTAGCAAAAGGGAGGGTACCTACTACAGAGAGCAATTCAAGAATAGGAAGCTGCTGCAACTAAAAAGTAGGCTGCCAGGAATAAGGCAGCTCTCAATTTCTTTATCATTGTTCGTCTTCAAATCATATTATAAACAGTAATACAGTAGTTATACACTAGAGGAATCTATGCATTCCAGTGCTATTCAGTTCATTACCTTGAATTAACTCACGCTACAATGCCTAAATTATGAAATTAAATAACAAAGTCAAGATACACACCGTTCCTATCCTGTTGATGGGACATGTAAAACAGTGATTAGCTATGGCAGCATTTCTTGCTTCAATTGGCCACATTGACTCACTGCAACACACAAAAGAGCAGGCAGGTATTCACTACTTGCTACTGCAGTGCTGAATTCAGATTGTGACTGTTTCACACTACATTTTCTGACAAAAAAAGCCAAAGTTACCTACAAAGACTGATCTTGGTCTTACAACCACAATTATTTTCTGCTCAAATACAAGTTTAAGAAATTCTACCTGATAATCTGGTAAATATGGCTTTGTCATGGAAAAAAAAAAGAAAAAAATTAACACAGCTCAAGATTTTCAAAGCAATTAAAGTGTAAAATGTTTTGTCTCTGAATTATGCAAAGGATTTATACATGTCCTTTCATATTCCATTAACTTTCAATACACCAAACATCATTCTGCAGCAAAGCTGCAAGATTCATACAAGTTGCATCCTTTTTTTCCCCAGTCGAGGAGAGGCTTTTGTAAGCAATGAAGGGGGGTGGGAGGAGGAGAGGAAAGAGAGAGAAAGAGGAATAATAAAGAAAAAAAAAAAGAAAAAAAGAAAAGAGGGAAAAAAGCTTCTTTTCCAAAGGAGATTTCAATTCTGAGTGATGTTTAAGAAGTCTTCTTTTTGTTAGTTTGATACACAGAGATCAGACTAGTTAATAGGATGCCTGGAAGTACTCAGAGCTCCAAAACAAAGGTGATACAATTTGTACACTCCTGTGACAGCTTGTACCTGCCAGATTCTAAATACCAAGACAAGGTTGCGAGCATCTGACTCATTAATCTCCCAGTCAGACTCAAGAATCTTAAGAGCTGAGCACTGGACTGATTGCAAGGACTTGGTTTATTGCCTCTTCTCTCAATTGCTTTGAGCCTGGCAGCCAGCTTTTCTAAGAAAAAGGGATTTTACTGAAAACCTCCAGCACATCACAATTTCACAGAAGAGAGACAGAAAAAAAAGGCTATAGCCAAGAAGCAACCTCAGAGACAGTTTTTACATCAAATACTCTTTCTGCAGTAAAAATCTTATGCTTAAAAACAATCAAGTGAAAGCTACTAATTTGGAGAGCGTGAAGCACTGATGAAGTGCTGTGTGACAACAGGGTAATTTCTGTTTGTTCTCCTGTTAATGGGCTACAAGTGGACAAACATCACAAATATTCCAATATTGACATAAATGACTCAAAAGCATTGCGTATTCAACTCTTTTCGAAGGACATTTCCCAACATTAACAAACATAAAATATCTTTTATACCACAAAATATTAAGGGCAGTTTGAATGACAGAATCTAACTTGCAGTTCTACCCTCCACATTTGTAAATACATGGTTCTCTGCATCAGAACTGGCTGTAGGTATGAAAATTTTATGCCTCTAATCTATTTTTCACCATTTCTACCCTATTATGAATGCTCATAATCCTCAGAACTTTCTAGCTGGTCAGCAAAATAAAAAATGGATTAATATTCTGCGACCATGAAAACCTCCAAATTTACATTAAACATGTAAAGCAAGAGGATTGGGGAAGCATGAAGAAACAGAAAATGGAATAAAAAGAAGATACTCCTCTTACATTTCTAAGTCTGCTACTGTCTTACATACCCAGTGAGCAAGTCTGTGTTGCCTGAACATTTCATACATTAAGGTTTACACAGCTGACACAAGAGAAATCTCTTCCTCTAGGTTTAAAAAAAAAATGAAAAGTATTCTGCAATTAGTCCAAGCGCACAAGCTTAGCTGAATGGAAAGAGAAATGAGAAAGAATTTTTAGCATTACAAAAGATCAATATGCGTGTGGGGGCTGTTTTGTTGATTTCTTTTCCTCTGGATATTATACTTGTATTACCGTATCATCAGTAACAATGAAATATGCTCCTGTTAGCTTCCTAAAATTCACCTTTGGAGCTGGAAACTGAAAAACAGTTCAGCTGGCCTAAAATACGTTTTTTTTAACTCACAAAGGAAATGCTTTTGTTCCAAGGAACTCGGAAATCAGACTTCTCCTCCCCCCATAACAAAGCTAGCCACTTATGCTGAAAAGGGTTAAAAATATTAATACTAAATTACCATCACTTCCTCAGTTGTCTATATGTAAACACCACACATGACTAAATTACTTTTCAGAGCCTACTGTACTAGGGAAAAGAACAAAAAAAATCCCCCAAAACCCCTAACCAAAACAACAAGAAAACACACAGCAGTCCCATCGTGTGCTAAGCTGATGTGCAGACACATTCTGGAATCCCACATCTCAATTTTAAAATTCAAATTAGATTATTTATAAGTATTGAGTAGAAGAGCAAAGGCAAGAATACAATGAGAATGAAACGAAGGCATGGTGATTTTGTCTAGAGGAGTGGTGTAAAGAACTGCTGAGCCCATTTCTACCAGGTTTGTACCTAAAGAAAGCTCTCCTGCCAGCCCTGAAGCAATGCAGTTATTTTGCATCACCTTGTATCCCAAGCAATAAACAGCCTGTGTCAGACAATGCTTTGGAAGCATGGCACATTCAAATGTGACTGATGCTAGTAAGAGGCAGAGAATATTCAAGATCTAATCCCCAAATTAATCATTATGGGCTAGCTAAGAAGCATATTTTCTTAGTTCACTGAGCTAGTTTTCTTTTTGCTTTTAGGAAATCAAGTCAGTAGGGTGCAATTAATATCAATCTGCAGGAGATCAATCTGAAGGGAAACAGTTTACACTAGTTCAGTCTGGTTCAAGAGGTCTGATAATCACAAAATTGCCAACAGTTAGAAAAAGATAGTTTCTGAGAAAAGGATTTCTCAGCTTGGCAATTTGACACCACACTTACTGGCTTACCCAGGTGCCCAATGCAAGCTGGCAAACTAAGCCTGAATGTAAATTACTACTGCCTGTCATAAAGCAAAAATATGACATAAATAATCTAAGTAAACTTTCATTAGTTTTCAGAACACCAGCTAGATACTGTCTCAGAGACAGAAGACCTGTAGATTTACAACTGAAGTTCTGGAAGAGAATCCGTGAGCAGACTGCTAGCCCAAAACTCCAGGTGGAGAAGAATGCAGACTCCTTCATGAAGGCAAAACAAAGTTCCAAGACCTTAAGTAAGGTGGCCATGAGGACCCAGCAAGGGACTTGGAGGTTCAGTTAACCCAGGAAGTGTGAAAGAGCCTAAATCAGTTTGCATTTTACCTGAGCTTTCCAACAGTGGCTGAAGGGTTAAAGATGATCTCTGCTCCATTCATACTAAACATAAGCCAGTTCAGAGGGTGATGGCGCCCATAGCAGATATTCACAGCAATTTTTCCAAACTGGGTCTGAAACACCGGGTGTCCTGTATTTCCTTCCATGTAATAAGTAGACTACAAACGAAAAAATGAGGCAGACTTCTTAAAAAAGCGAAAACTACCACCTCCAATGTTGCTTTGACACTTGCAATTTCTGATTAACAGGTTCAAGTAATTAGGCCATGAAAGAGAACACCTTTCATTTAGTACACAGCTGCACTGTAATGGGTATATAGCAAGAAGTGGCTCTCTTCGGCTGCTGAGATCAAATTCAAGCCTGTTTCCCTTCACTCAGACTACACCTAAGCACTGTCTGATTTTGACATAAATGCTTCTATTAATGCTAGAAATTTCTACAGAAGCTTAAGAGACATTCACAAATGTCCAACCTGTAGGCACCTCTCTTAGTACTTTCATCACGTGAGAAAATTTTCCAAAGACATAATGATCCGTTGATTCTGGTAAAAGACAGAGATTATGAACACTGTTTAAAGGACATGTTCATTCAGTCCCTCACGTTCCTTCAGGAACACATTCATTCCTTTACATTCACCTCTTATGCAATGACATGCAGTAATTTTATGAATACTATAAGGAAATATCAGTGTACAGCCAAGATCCATTATTTAAATTTCCTATATGGCTATTGCTCTGAATAAACAGAAGGCTTGAAATAACCACCAGGAAAATCACAGGATAAAACTAGAGAACACTCCTCAAAGGAACTGAAGCCAACTGTTGGCTTAAAAGATCCCGTTTACCATATGCTGTGAACTTTTATCTTATCAAACATTTCTAAACAGTTAGAAATGCACTAGTTCTATAAAAGGCACTGGTGAAGAGAAGGACAGGGCAGTTAACAGCTATCAGGAGAGACCAACATTCACAGACGTATTCTAAATGAAATGTACAGAAATGGTTCTTTCCAGATACTAGAAAAGGGTACGTGTGGCATCACTGACAGTTGCCTGCTCAGTGGCAGCCAAAAACCCCAGAAAACCTGGGACATCAGCAGGAGGTGTACTAAAACGTAACAGAAAACATTGTTTTGCTGGTTTGTAAGAATTTGGTGTGCCCATGGCTTGAGTACTCCAGGCAATTCTACTGTCTGCATCTCAATAAGGATATACTAGAGATGGAATAAGCAAAGGCAGCTGAAGGGGATGGGGCAGCTCTCTTCTGAGGAACAACTAATATGCCTCTTCAATCTGCAGGTAGAAGGCTGACTGTGACATAATAAGTAAGATTTACAAAATTACAAAGTATCTTATCAGTAGATAAGATGAATAAAGAAAGCCCAAAGCAGCAGCAATAGAGTGTATTCACTAAAATTACACTCTTACAGCTATTTTCAACCACAGTAACTTTTTTCGTGCAACAGGCAGTGTACTTCTGAAATGCGCTTCTTTGTGCAAGCAGGTATTATCACCAGGTTCAGAAGGGATTAGACAAAGTCACTGATGAAAGACCCACAGATAAGAAATGAAATAGACAGGAACGTCACCCAACATCCCTGAAACAGTGACTGTGGCTACTGAGGGAGCACAAAAGTTTCTATGTCCAGACTTATTCCTGGTAGTCCCTTTTTGTGGTGATCTCAAGAGACCAGAAAAGCAAGGTACACAGTCCACCAGCCTGACCCAGCGGGGCACGTCTCTTCTCATATAAGCAAGGTGCGTTTGTAACCAATTCCCTTTTTATTGAAACTGTCTGTCTATTGTAACAACCACTGCCATTGGTCTTGAAGGAAGCAGGCCTAAAGCAAGTGCAGCTGCAGCTGAAGAACAATCTAGGGCTTCGTGTAAGGATACAGGAATGGCATGATAGACAGAGGGGGATTATCTTCTGAAACCAAGGACTAGAGGGTCAGTGTGCCCACTGAAAGTGACATGTAGCATTTATTATTATCAGCTCTCATGAAATTGCACAGTCTCTTGGGCACTGATTTTACCTCCATTCGTGCCTGTAAAGAGCACGTGGTGGGCACTAACACAATCCTTTTTCAAATAATTCTGCTAATTGACTATATTTCCATTTTTTTTCTTCTATTCTGTTTTCTTTTATTACAATAGGAGAAGGAAAACAAGAATGCTGTTGCTTTGGGGAATTCATTAGTTCTTATTTATTGCTCACCAGAGGTCACAATCATCTCCACAGCAACACACTGATGTCTCAAGAAGGATAGATTTTCGTTTATTTCCACGCCATACCACACATGGCTGAATAAGTCACAGACCAACCTCATTCCTCTTTCCATTTCATTCTCACCAGTTCAACAAGGATGATTTT